AGACCTGCTAGGAATCAGAGCACTCCAGTAATCCTTGAAGCCAAAAACTTCAGAACCACCACCAATGGTTGTGTTGTAGTCGGAAAACGAATGTAAATGAGTATTTGTCGGAAATTCAGAACTCGATTCCGGTGGACCCAAGTCACCCATCAAAACAAAACCAGAACTCGCACTCTGGTTAGTGAAGAAATTCATGTACCCGGCAAAATCAAAGCCACTATCGAAAAGTTGGTTCCAAACAAAGTTAAAGAGGGACGGAAAACAGGATTTGGATGGAAATAGGACTGCAAATGTGGCTGTGATGGGTCAAGCGACGGTGAACATGAAGACTCCTCCTCCAGTGGATTGAACAAAAGGCTGCTAAATTCTGGTCGTTGGGAAGAGGATTCATATGGAGGTCAGGATTTGGTGGGTTCATGGCATTGTTAATGAACCACTCGTTGGTGAGATGAGGTGGGGTGAAAAAGATGAACAATTTTCTTTGCTTTTTCTTTTCTTTATAATCATTTTAAATGTAAAATACAAATTTATCGCAATTTTGACTTTTTTGATCAACTTACGGTCAATTAGACGGAAACCGTCTATTTGGACTCCGGGTGCGAATTGTTTAAAGGTTTGGTACCATGAGTGGTACAAAACAAAGATTTGGACAAAGTTTACGAAAATGTGAAATGTTCGGTACTTTGGCTGCAATTTTCTCTTTATTTTATTATGGTTTGCTGTAGTAAATATAATTTTAAAATTTATTTAATTATTTAATTATGGTTTGTTGTAGTAAATATAATTTTATTCCCAAGGTGCACCGAACTCTTGTGCATGCAAATGAATTCAATATTTGTCCCAACATGATCGAGATAGACATCCTAGTTTCACGAATGAAGGTAGTTGGGACTTAGGTTAGGTAGGTAGCCACTTTGCTGCAATTCAGTGGGATCTAGCACGGCATAGAAGCACACATCACTGTAGATGAATGCGACGAGGCCAAACAAGATTGGTATTGGCTCTTTCAATTATTGGACCATACAACTCTTACTTTCACTTTATAATTTACCTGAAACATTAAAGGGATTAATCCCTATTTGAAAATGACTGCTAGGCCTTTGAGAAATATTTTGTAGATTGAGGATTAGTGTTCTACCATTCAAAAATGAAAAGCGTAACCATTATTTCTACGCAACATTATGATAGAATTCTTTCTGTAATGTAGTTAGTAGTGCTCGTTGACTTTGAAATTCTAATATTTTAGCTGATCGAAAAAATGGATTTAACCAAAAGTTTGGGTAATAAATTTACAAGTAGACATAATGAATTCGTCTTCATCAACTCAAAATTCTAAACGAATGGTTGGTATTTCGAAGCTCTTTTGCTCCACACCTATTTCCATCAGACTCAAAAATTCACCACTAGATAGCACGCGCATGGCAAGTCGTCATAATTGCATGCTCCTCAAATGAGACTCTACAATGTGGAAAAATTGTCATGTTATTATCTCATCTAATAATGTAGGGTCACATTAATATTTTGATTGGAAGGCCAATACTGGTTTCAATATGTTTGAGCCCATTTTAACCTCATAATCCTGTAATCCTCTACTAGTCTAGACATTTAAGAAAAGAAGAATGGTACTTGTGGTCCTTCTTTCATATTCTTGCTCACTTTCTCACTATCCCCAACTTCAAGTTTCACTTTCTTCATTTTCTCCCACTTGTCCAAACACTTTTTTCCTAATTCTTGTTTCTAAAGGAATGGAAACAAGCGAAGCAGAAGAAAAGAAGATTGCAAAGGTAGCCACATTGGTTAAGGAAGAGGAAGACGGGGAAGAAGACAACGTTAAAAATAAGAAGAGAGCATTGACTCTTACCTCAATAAGGGCGTCAAGCGCAGGAGGATCCGCACAGCCTTATTGTCAGGTACAAGACTGTACTGTGGATATGACCAGTGCCAAGCCATATCATCGCCGGCACAAAGTCTGTGAGTTTCACGCCAAGGCACCTGCAATTCTTGTTTCTGGGCTTCAACAACGTTTCTGCCAGCAGTGCAGCAGGTTCAAATATTAAAAAATTTGCAAGTAATTTGAGTACTTTCTATCTGTTTCTGCATATACTTGTTTGGATATACAGACAGGCCTAGAGCTCCTAATTTTTGGTTCATAGACACAACTACAAACTGATCAGTTAACTGAAAGATGGCAATTAAGGCAGTGAAGTATTCTGTGCAATACAGCAACAGAAATTTAGCTAACACTATATTAACACCTACCTTAAACATAGAACAAGTAACAAATTAATCGACTAAAGAAGAAGTAACCGGAATTATTTGCTATAAAAGAAGAATATTTTGAGGAAGGCCCTGTAAATGACAGTAGTTATACAAGATTATCAGTTCATAAACGAACATTTTGCAATATTATGAATCCCACATATATATTTATCCCGTGTTTGGTAGTAGGTAGAGATTACTTATTTTTCCCAAATTTATTTTCAACTGCACATTTTCCTAATAAAATAATTTCCCACGTAGACGCATAATTTTTCCTACTTTTTAACTACACATTTTCCTAAAAAATCGTTTTCATCAAAATCAATTCTGAGAAAATTTACCACAAACATGCTCATAACCTACTTGAAATATAGATCGGAGGCTAATTAATTACTTTAAAGTCAGAGCAGGGTATAACAGTAGTCCCAAACCGAATATATATGTGTATATATATCCAAAATAAGGCTTTTGGCTAAGGTTCTTAAGGAGAAAGGATTGATACATAGTGCGTTCTATGTTACTGAATTGATAACAAGTAAACAAAATTTAAATGGACAACGATTCAAGTTCATAAATCACAAACGAGCATGTAAATGGACACCGTCAGATTCAAAATCCCAAAATGAACTCAACCCAGCAAGTACCTCATAACAAAATCATACATAGGGATTTCATCAGACACTATTAAGACATCTGAACGATAATCATATGATTCATATAAAATAGTTTTAATACTCTCGAACAAACTGATTCGGATGTTCTACATTACTTTTTATTTGTAATTTAACTGTTTCCAATTGCTACAATACTGAATCGCCTGGCCCAACGTAAGGATAAAAATGCAAAACAGGCTTCATTTGTGTGGTTACCTATTGCATTCCGCAGGTTTCATGAAGTATCAGAATTTGATGAAGCTAAAAGAAGTTGCCGCGGGCGCTTGGCGAAGCACAATGAGAGACGCCGCAAAAGCTCGAATGATTCTCTTTGAGAAGGGGCACGTTGAAATGATGAAATTAGAATTCTCGTAGAAACGCGCATGGAAATGCTCTCTCTCTTCTGTCAATTGCTGGATTTCTTCACATCGACCGTGGCAGTTTATCGATCAAATGATAAAGGGCGCGTTTGGATTAAGCTTCAAAATGTTATTTGTACAATCAAAATTTGGGCAATTTATTTTAAAAATAGTTTTTCATTTTGAAATGAATGAATGTAATGCTGTCAAATGTTAGGATTAATCAACAGATATGAATATTCTTGCACCAGAGGCTGTTAATATCACTAACAAATAGCAATTTATTTCCTCAATTTAAGGGATATGTATGTATGGTTAGACACCTGTCACTAGCAGATAAGAAAAACAAGAATATTCTCTTTATATGTAAAATGTTTATATTGCAATTCAATGTATAAATAGAGAAGCGAGGAGAGGTTAATTGAGCTGAAAAATTCTAAAGAAGCTACCCTAATAGCTAACACTGATTCAGGAAGACAAACACCTCCAAGCGAGTCGAGCACTGCAGCAACCATTCAATCTCTTGTCAGTCATGTGAACTAGACCTCACCTTTTGGGATGAACCTCATTCAGACTCCATCAGTGAAGCTGGACGGAGATAACTTTCTATTGTGGCAAAACACGGTTATGCCCATGGTTAGAGGACACAACCTTGAAGGATATCTGCTAGGAACGAAGCCATGTCCACCAGAGTTTCTAGAAATTCAGACCGTTACTAAGGAGGGAGAAGCCGTAGAAATGGTTCAAAATCCTAATTATAGTAAATGGGTTTCAACTGATCAGCTGTTAATGAGATGGTTGTTTCATTCATAACCTCGGAAATTGCAATGAGAGTGATGGGGTACTCCAGCTCAAGTAAGCTATAGAGTGTAGTCAAGGAAAGTTATGGGATAATGAATAGATCTAAAGTTATATTTCTCACTTGAGAGTTGCGATGGACCAGAAAATGATCAATGTCCATGTATCAGTATCTTGCTACCATCAAACAATTGGCAAACAACTTGCAGATTGCTGGAAAAACCATAGATCCAAGTGATCTGGTAACTCAAGTTCTATCTGGACTGGATAAAGAATACACACCTATTATGGTGCAATTAAATAGCAGGGAGAATATATAATGGCATGAACTCTCCTCCGTTCTCATGACCTTTAAGAGTAGGCTTGGATACCTTAATCAACTTAAGAATGACTTAGGCACAATGAATATTAATCAGTCAAGTGTACAGTTAACTAAGAGAACAGGTTATGGTAGTGGTAGAGCTTTTAGATATATTAATAGTGGACAATTTTCTAACTTCAAAGGAAGAACAAGGGACGGGGGTAGAGCAGATAGGATGAATGAAAATCGAGGACCCCGTCAAATTTGTGGGATGATAACCATTTGACTAGATGGTGTTTCAGTAGCTACAATGACGGGTATATAGGTAGCAGACTAGGTAACCAGAATATACATTACAACTCATCTCATGCTACCTATGTAGCTTTACTAAGAACTGTGGAGGACTCAGCATGGTTTACAAACTCTGGAACAAAAAATCATGTTACTGATGACAAAGGTAATCTGGATACTGTGAGAAAATATCGAGGTAAGGAAAAATTGATTGTTGGTAGTTGGAATTCATTGCATATTGCTAATGTTGGCAGAAGAAATCTTGTTACCTTGAGTAATATGACTCTTGCATTAAATAAATTATTTCATGTGCCTACAATTCAGAAAAAATTGATTAGTGTTTCTCAATTGACAAGTGACAACAATGTATTTATGGGATTTTATCCTAACTGTAGTGTAGTTAAGGAACGAAGGAGATCTTATTGCAAGGGTTGCTTAAAGATGGATTGTATCAACTTAAACTACCAAATTCCAAGCCTAAAGTCACCATCAAAGAATCAAGCTACCAAAATAATTCTAACAGTTAAAGGGTATTTAAGTCTTTTATGTAATAC